ATATTGGTACATTTGTATTTATTATCAATTTTTTCGTTGCAATATTTTATTGCCATGTATATAATCTTATAAGCCTTGTTATTATAAGTAATTGGAGATCGTTCTCTAAATTGTCTGTTGTAACTATTTTTAAAGGGCAGTCTTTAAATTTGTAAATATCCAAGTATTTTTTTGCTAAATAAACTGCAGAGTAAGTAATTGAACACGTTTCAAGTGTTGTTTGTATCGTACATAGTTGGTTACATGTATCCACGGTAACGGATCCTATTATGAGGTCGATCCTTAGTCCGATATCTATTGAAAATTTAAAATGAGGCCGATTCATAATGAGCCGAAAATTGACCACCCAAAAGTACGAAAACTTCATTATAAAATCAAAGCAAAACATCAATACTTTTCTGGTAAAAACCAAATTAACCCAACCCTAACCACCAGTTTACTTTTGGAGCCAATATTTAGAAATTGTGGTTTAGGTAAATATTAATCGCCAGATTAAATTGTTAGGACTTCAGTGTCACTGATATGAAAAACTGGTTACGTTAACGTCCACTACTATTCTCACGATTGAAGCAAGGGTGGACTAACTCTATCAATACGCCCCGGATTATTAAAGAAGTCCGAATACCATTGTTTAACCTTCTACAATAATCAGGGGCACAATTTAAATGAAAAAACGGGGGGGTGCTGAAGGGGGTGAATCTTTTAATAATAATAATAATAATAATAATTAATAATAATGTTTGTATTTTATTTGTTAAACACATTTTCGAATAGAAATACTGGTGCAAAAGTTTTTTTATGACCTTTTTTAAAGGATTCTTTTAAATTTTAATAGTTTTTCTGAACGTGAGGAAAAAACTGTCCTGAAATGGTAAAAATACGCTGTAAATAAGACTTTCACATTTTAAATTTTAGTTACTTAGTCATAATTTCAAAAGTAATGTGGCTAGAAACTTGAGACTTCTACCCTATAGCAAAGATATTTTATTTCGTATTGTATAAAAATGTATATATTTATACAAAAAAATTCAAAAACTACTAAGTTTTTCTATACATAATGAGTAATGAGTATTTAAATTAACATAAACCCATTTGGGGGGTGCTAATTTCGAAAATGGGGTGCTAAGCACACCCAACCCCCCCCTAAATTACGCCTATGACAATAATTTAAAATTTATTTCAGAATACCACACATATATTTAAGCAAAAAATTAAAAACATGAATTTCAATACATAATATAAATATCTACATAACAACAATTAATTTTTAACTTATTTATTAAGGAATTAATAATTTATGCAAAGTCCCAATTGGTAAAGTAGGTTTGCTGACACTCTTGTAATTTTATACTTAATTTTAGTATACATTATTCTAACTGTATTTTAGTAATAATAAACATTGTATTTATATTTTTTCAGGAAATAAAAATCAGTTCTACTATATTTATACATTTTCGGATGAAAGTTATTTAAGATCTACTGCATGTTATCATAGAAATGTAAAAAATAATATATTTTCATTTTCGCTGACACCTGAAAAAGAACCTATTACATGCTTATCGATTACGTACATATTGACCACTGCAAATGAAAGAAAATATGAACTCATTATTACGGACCAACTTTTTAATACAAAAATTATTTCAGCCGAATTAGAAAAAGGAGTAGGAACCATAATAATAATATTCTATACTATGGCTACATCAACGCTTATGAAAACAATAATGAATAGTAAAATATATTATACTTTTAGGACGATGTAAAGACATTAAGATTAAATAATATCTTCTTATTGAAAACAAGAGAATATAATATTTCATTACAATTATCAACTGAATATATGGATTGCAGCCATTACAAAGATACAAATTTTAAACTCATAAAGATTTCACAGTGTTTAAAAAGCAGTAAGTACTCCTTTAAAAATGTATGTTTTATGTCAAATTTTAAATCACCGTAACATATCTGATACAAAAAAGATAACTAAAACATATCGACATATAGTATAAGGAAATAATTAATATTACATTATGTATAAATTTAATTATACATGATTATAAATAAATAATGAAAATATTAATTTTTTTTGTAGAAAAAGAAGTCATTCCTCTACAAGATAGAAATGCTTTGCCGCATCCTTATTCAATAAATGTCCTAGGAGTCGGTATGTAATTCAAATAACATAATTTACTCAAACATATATAAATATTTAAATCAACGATCCCTTTCCTGGGATAATTATTCATCGTAAATGTTGTCAATGTACTTTGTCCACTATTATTTTAAATATTGTGGGCCGTATTCTTAATATTTATCTAGTTCTCATTGCTTTCTGTTTCGTGAAATGGCTATTTACCTATTTTATAGAAGTGAAAAACTCAAATGTTGCTTATCCAGGCTAATTATGGAATGAAAATACGTTTCATTACCTCTGGTATACTTGCATATTTGTTAAATATTATAGTAGGGAAAAAATATTGTTTCAAATTATTATAGAATTTTGGAAAACTTGTATAAAAATATTTTATCAATTATTAAACAACGAAATTTTTCTGAAATTATATGGACTGTCAAAATATAGGTCCTCATCTACTAATATTTGAAGGCCAGCAAGTTACAAAAGATACAAGTGATTGTCTTCACGGTGGATACAAGTTATATCCATTATCGAGGTGTATTTGTCCTCCTGGCTTTACAGGACCAATTTGTGAAACAGGTACAATACACTAGTTATTTTTTAGTCTAGATCGTATATATTCTGAACGTGACGCTTAGAACGCAGATATTTAAGTACGATTTCTTTTAAGTGAGTTCTTAAAGCGAGAACTATGTAAGAATCCATCAAATTTATAAATATTTTTTAATTGTATATATTTAATACTATTAACAAAACTTAAAATATAGATTGTTCAACAATAACTTAATTATATATATTTATCATTACAATTTGGAAAACAATGCGTTTATATTGTAAAGGAGTACAAGTATTATGTAACTACAGGATGTGGACCAAATTCATATGGAGCTGATTGTAAAGGAATTTGCTCCTTACATGATAGAATGTGTCGTGGTATGTTAATGTGTACGACTTATGGATGTACGTGTCCAGTGGGACTAACTGGCCCATGGTGCAACCAAGGTATAATCAGTATGAATCAATAAGCTGATATTGTACTGTCGATCAATATTTAAGAACAATAACAATCGTTATTAATTTTTTTTAGATTGTGAATCGGGAAAATATGGTGCTGATTGTAATCAAACTTGTTCTTCGAATTGTTATAACAATTCATGTGACCCGTATACAGGTATCTGCTCTCGTGGATGTGTTCCCGGATACGTTTTTCCACGTTGTCTTGAAAGTAAGCAATGAGGAGCAATTGTGTTGAATCGTATTAATATGAATAATAACTCGAAAGTATTTTTAATATTGTTTTAATTAATGCTAGTATAAATCGTAAAAGGCATTTATTATAATTTTTACTGTCCCCACCGATTGTTATATGATATTTATGATTATTATTTATCCATTTTATTTTGGCACAAATCGATAGTACCCAAAACCGTTTTTTTTTTTTTTTTTTTGTGCCATTGTTTAACCTTCATATAACTAAGAATACTTGTATAAATCGTTAATTTAAATATTCGTATTATACTTCACATACTGACAAACTTCACAAACTAATACCGAGTTATTAAATGCTTTATTTTATTTAGAATATCCATACCTCATAAATCCGCCTGAACTAATTTCAAGCCAATACGAGTCATTAGAAATTAAATTGAATTTAAATTCAACAAATATAAAAGGTGGAGACAACAACATAGAGCCGAAATATTATCAATTACTGTATAAGGTAAATCAGAACAGCTGACTGAATAGCTTAATTATATGTTCATCAATCTGATGTAAGATAAGCACAAATATTTATAAGTGTAACTATTTTGAATTTCATACTTATGCCATTTTTAGTTGAAAATATTGTTTTGGACAGGTATACATAGAGATATGGCGTATGAGCGTATTATAAAAATAACCATTTTGTGATCGTTAAAAAAAAAACTTCTCATTTACACTTTAGTATTTCACAGACCAAATCTTTTCCTTCTCCTAACACAATTAAATTTTGGACTAGGCAATTGGAAGGAACTGCGAGTACCGTATGTGGTAATGAAAATGGAGCATACAAAAAGGCAAACATTTCCGAAGATGTGCAGTTGGTTAGAAAGTTGCTTGAAGGACACCAAGATGCCCTATCCGGAAGCACGTGAATGATTAGGGAACCTTAATACGCGATTCTTCGCAAAAATGATTCATTTCATCCCTATTAATTTACGCTCGTCTTTAATTATTTTAGTAATTACATAACTTTCAATAATATTCTAAAAAATTACATTTTAAATAAACTGTCTGACTTTACCAAATCTTTAATAATAAAAAAAACCGTTTTTAATCATAGTTTCACATTCTGAACTACCATATTGAAATATAGTCAAAATCATAGGGTACACTCTTATACTGTAACGGTCACACATTATTTATTTGTTCTGCTGATACTTGGGAACGTGCATAATAGAAACGTAGTAAGATGACTCTAGTCGATATTATTCAATCCTTATTTTTTGTAAAACTGTAAAATTATATATATTAAAAAAAAATTTTATGTAAACTCTTTCTATATAACTGGGAAATTATGATATTATTACTACAGCTGTTTAAAATATTTGACATACATTATTATACAATGAGTTATGTTTATAGACACTTGGTGAACAATCCTACAACACTTCAGACATCAATTTAATTTTAAACGACACCGAGGTAACGAGCATTATAAATCACTTAGAACCAGGTACCGCATATGAAGTTGGTGCTATCCTTATAACAAACGATGCGAATTTCAATGACCAAGACATAAAATACGGTCAATATAATACAAAATGTAAGCGTAAGTATTTTTCGATTAATCACTTAAATTATTAAATTGAGAAGTATTATTAAAACGACAGTGATAACTTACGTTACTCACTATTTTATAATAAATAAAATATATCAGTTCGTGTTCTACAGCAGATTGTATGACACGTGTGTTCAGCGAAATCGTGTTTTATAGCTCTCGATAGATAATCAAATACTGTTAAACACCAGACAACCTACCAGAATAAATCCTTCAATTAAGCTATTTTCCTCTATCGACCACTCTATCTCCAATACTTCCCTCGCACACACACTTGAATGAGAAGTCCTCCACTTTATACACAGCAGCGATCAT